CGTTAGCAGTCCGGATACCAATAGTGTAGCGTTACCAGTCCGGGTACCAATGGTGTAGCGTTACCAGTCCGGGTACCAATGGTGTAGTGATACCAGTCTGGGTACCAACTGTGTAGCGTTACCAGTCCGAATACCAATGGTGTAGCGCTAACAGTCCGAGTGACAACGGTGTAGTGTTACCAATCCAAGTACCAACGGTGTAGCGTTACCAGTCTGGGTACCAATGGTATAGCGTAACCAGTCCGATTACCAACGGTGTAGTGTTACCAGTCCGAGTACCAACGTTGTACTGTTACCAGTCCGAGTACCAACGGTGTAGCGTTAGCAGTCCGGATACCAATAGTGTAGCGTTACCAGTCCGGGTACCAATGGTTATAGCATTACCAGTCCGAGTACCAATTGTATAGCGTTACCAGACCGAGTACCAACGGTGTAATGTAACCAGTCCGTGTACCAACAGTGTAGCGTTACCAGTCCGGGTTCGAATGGTGTACCGTTACCAGTCCGAGAACCAATTATGTAGCGTTGTTACTAGTCCATGTACCAATGGTGTAGCGTTGCCAGTCCGAGTACCAACGGAGTAGCGTCACCAGTTCGGGTACCAACGGTGTAGCGTTACTGGTACATGTATATCTGTAACGCTACACCGTTGGTACCCGAACTGGTAACGCTACTCCGTTGGTACTCGGACTGGCAACGCTACACCATTGGTACATGGACTAGTAACAACGCTACATAATTGGTTCTCGGACTGGTAACGGTACACCATTCGAACCCGGACTGGTAACGCTACACTGTTGGTACACGGACTGGTTACATTACACCGTTGGTACTCGGTCTGGTAACGCTATACAATTGGTACTCGGACTGGTAATGCTATAACCATTGGTACCCGGACTGGTAACGCTACACTATTTGTATCCGGACTGGTAACGCTACACCGTTGGTACTCGGACTGGTAGCGCTACACCTTTGTTATCCGAACTGGTAAAGCTACACCATTGTTACCCGAACTGGTACCGCTACACCATTGGTACCCGAACTGGTAACGCTACACCATATGTACCTGGACTGGTAAAGCTACACCGTTGGTACTCGGACTGGTAGCGCTACACCTTTGTTATCCGAACTGGTAAAGCTACACCATTGTTACCCGAACTGGTACCGCTACACCATTGGTACCCGAACTGGTAACGCTACGCCATTGGAACATGGACTGGTAACGCTACACCATTGGTACATTGACTGGTAACGCCACACCATTGGTACTCGGACTGGTAACGCTACACCGTTGGTAATCGGACTGGTAACGCTATACCATTGGTACCCAGACTGGTAACGCTACACCGTTGGTACTTGGATTGGTAACACTACACCGTTGTCACTCGGACTGTTAGCGCTACACCATTGGTATTCGGACTGGTAACGCTACACCATTGGTACTCAGACTGGTAACGCTACACCGTTAGTACTCGGACTGTTAACGATAAACCATTGTGTACTCGGACTAGCAACGCTACACCATTGGTACATGTAACGCTACACCATTGGTACTCGGACTGGTAAAGCTACACCATTGTTACATGGACTGGTAACGCTACACCATTGGTACATTGACTGGTAACGCCACACCATTGGTACTCGGACTGGTAACGCTACATCTGTAACGCTACACCGTTGATACTTGGACTGGTAACGCTATACCATTGGTATTCGGACTGGTAACGCTAAACCATTTATACGCGGACTGGTAACCGCTACACCATTGGTATTCGGACTGGTAACGCTACACAGTTGGTACCCAGACTGGTATCACTACACCATTGGTACCCGGACTGGTAACGCTACACCATTGGTACCCGGACTGGTAACGCTACACAATTGGTACCCAGACTGGTAACACTACACCATTTGTACCCGGACTGGTACATGTACATCTTAACGCTATACCATTGGTACTCGGACTGGTAACGCTACACCGTTGGTACTCGGACTGGTAGCTACACCATTGGTACTCGGACTGGCAACGCTACACCATTGGTAAATGGACTGGTAACGCTACACCATTGGTACATTGACTGGTAACGCTACACCATTGGTACTCGGACTGGTAACGCTCCACCATTGGTACTCGGACTGGTAACGCTACACCATTTGTACCCGGACTGGTAACGCTACACCGTTGGTACTCGGACTGGTAACAGTACACCGTTGGTACTCGGACTGGTAACACTACACCGTTGGTAATCGGACTGGTAACGCTATACCATTGGTACCCAGACTGGTAACGCTACACCGTTGGTACTTGGATTGGTAACACTACACCGTTGTCACTCGGACTGTTAGCGCTACACCATTGGTATTCGGACTGGTAACGCTACACCAATGGTACCCGGATTGGTATCACTACGCCATTGTTACCCGAACTGGTAAAGTTACACCATTGTTTCCCGAACTTGTAACGCTACACCGTTGGTACTTGGACTGGTAACGCTATACCATTGGTACTCGGACTGGTAACGCTACACCATATGTACCCGGACTGGTAACGCTACACCGTTGGTACTCGGACTGGTAACGCTACACCGTTGGTACCCAGACTGGTAACGCTACACCATTGGTACCCGGACTGGTAACGCTACACCATTGTTACCCGAACTGGTAACGCTACACCATCGGTACCCGGACTGCTAACGCTACACCGTTGGTACTCGGACTGGCAACGCTATACCATTGGTCCTCGGACTGGTAACGGTACACCGTTGGTACTCGGAATGGCAACACTACACCGTTGTCACTCGGACTGTTAGCGCTACACCATTGGTCCCCGGACTGGTAACGCTTCAACATTGGTATTCGGACTGGGGTTACATTACACCGTTGGTACTTGGACTGGTAACGCTCTACCATTGGTACTCGGACTGATGACACTACACCGTTGTCACTCGGACTGTTAGCGCTACACCATTGGTCCCCGGACTGGTAAAGTTACATCATTGTTACTCGGACTGTAAGCGCTACGCCATTGGTACCCGGATTGGTAACGCTACACCGTTGGTACCCAGACTGGTAACACTACACAGTTGGTACCCAGACTGGTAACACTACCCCGTTGGTACTCGGAATGGCAACACTACACCGTTGTGACTCGGACTGGTAGCGCTACACCATTGGTCCCCGGACTGGTAAAGTTACACCATTGTTACCCGAACTTGTAACGCTACACCGTTGGTCCTCGGACTGGTAACGCTTCACCATTGATATTCGGATTGGTAACGCTACACTAATGGTACCCGGATTGGTATCACTACACCATTGTTACCCAAACTGGTAACGCTACACAGTTGGTACTCGGACTGGCAACGCTATACCATTGGCACTCGGACTGGTAACATTACACCGTTGGTACTGGTAAAGCTACACCGTTGGTAATCGGACTGGTAACCCTACACCGTTGGTACCCGGACTGGTACATGTACATCTGGAACGCTACACGTAACAACGCTACACAATTGGATTGGTAACACTACACCGTTGTCACTCGGACTGGTAGCGCTACACCATTGGTATTCGGACTGGTAACGCTACACCAATGGTACCCAGATTGGTATCACTACACCATTGTTACCCGAACTGGTAACGCTACACCGTTGGTACCCAGACTGGTAACGCTACACCATTGATATTCGGATTGGTAAAGCTACACCGTTGGTACCCAGACTGGTAACGCTACACCATTCGACCACGGACTGGTAACGCTACACCAATGGTACCCGGATTGGTATCACTACCCCATTGTTTCCCGAACTGGTAAAGTTACACCATTGTTACCCGAACTGGTAAAGTTACACCATTGTTACCCGAACTGGTAAAGTTACACCATTGTTACCCGAACTGGTAACGCTACACCGTTGGTACCCAGACTGGTAACGCTACACCATTCGAACACGGACTGGTAACGCTACACAATTGGTACTTGGACTGGTAACGCTACACCATTCGACCACGGACTGGTAACGCTACACCAATGGTACCCGGATTGGTATCACTACACCATTGGTACCCGGACTGGTAACGTTACACAATTGGTACCCAGACTGGTAACACTACACCATTTGTACCCGGACTGGTACATGTACATCTGGAACGCTACACCGTTGGTACTCGGACTGGTACCACTACACCATTAGTACCCGGACTGCTACATGTACAATTGTAACACTACACCGTTGGTTATCGGACTGGTACATGTACATCTGTGACGCTACACCATTGGTACATGGACACGTAACAACGCTACACAATTGGTACTCGGATTGGTAACGCTACACCATTGGTACACGGACTGGTAACGCTACACCATTGGTACTTGGACTGGTAACGCTACACCATTGGTACATAGACTGTCAAAGCTACACCGTTGGTACTCGGGCTGGTAACGCTACACCATTGGTACCCGGACTGGTACATGTACATATGTAACGCTACACCGTTGGTAATCAGACTGGTAACGCTACACCATTGGAACATGGACTGGTAACGCTACACCATTGATACATGGACCGGTACATGTACATCTGTAACACTACACCGTTGGTACTCGGACTGGTAACGCTACACTATTGGTACACAGACTGGTAACGCTTCACCATTGGTACTCGTTCTGGTAGCGCTACACCATTGGTACATGGACTGGTAACACGTTGAGCATGAAAATGGCATCTCACTGACGTTATTTCGATGACTCGTTGCAGAAGACCGGAATTGATTATTAAAAAAACCCAATAAGAATAAGGATTTGGTAAATATCAAAATTAATTACAGAGTACCGGGATAAAGAAATTAGGTTTACTCGCCTCGGGGTACCCATATGGGTCATATTGGCAACTCTAATCAGATTGCCCGTATTGGTATCCTTGCTGTCGATTACTCAACTAAGACTGTTTATAAGATAAGTGATGAATGAACATTGATATAAAAAATGAATCAACTGCACTCACCCTGTCTCCGAACTCTTTGAAGCAGCACATAGCGTAGTCCCTGAAGTGACGTACTGTAGAGGAGTTGAGCCAGCCACCGTCTTCCTGTATAGGAATAGGAAGTTCTCCTGCGAGTAAAGTCACCACTGGTGTCATGCCTGCCGCTAGTGTGGCGTTGATCACATGGTTATAATATTTCAATCCAGGATTATCGTTTGGGCTGTTTTGCCCTTCCCTAGCCGTAAACAATCTCGACCAATTCAGGGCGAAGTGATAGTGTGAAACCTGAAAAAAATGTGTTTAAATGTAAATGTTTAAAAGTTTACAGGATCACGAAAATTTTGTTGGATAAATAATAATATCTCGATATAATGCCACTCGTGTTAATACCACCTTGCTTACTGCCAGTATATGTCAGGTCCGTTTTTTCACTCTTTTTATCTTCATAACCTTTTTTATGAACCTCTTCCGAGATATTCGAGAAATTCTTTAAAACGCAGTGCAACATAATTATGTCATTGTAGCGTAGTTTTATTGGTATTGTTGCGGATGAGACGTACATTTAGTTTATGATGTAATAAGAGAAATATCATACCGAGGCTGTATAAAACCGTGGTGGGTAGTAAAGAATATATGGAGATATAGTTTATAAGTTACGGCCATCTATATAACCCTTACCCCAAGGAACTTGGCAGCTCTAATGTTGTTGTCGACTTCGGCGTATGACATCTGGTCGGACGTGTCATTATCTGAAAACGAGAAACAGACACCGTGTTTAACTGCACGGCCAAATGAGGCTGCCAGATAATGGCGTTAACGGGATACAGCGGAACCTCGTTTGTCCAGAATCCGAACAGATATAAATCAATATATAATCTCATTTCAACCTGTCTTAACCGAACTCTGAGTAACAAAAACCTTGATAAACCGGATTTTCCACAAATTGGAGACAAATTGAATATTTGTCTGCAATCCTGTGAAAATTATAGGACAATAACTTTCCAAAGAAGGCAGTTTAATACTTATATTTCCGTTTTTGATTTTTTTCTTTCTTATATTTTCAACCTGTTATCGCAAATTTTGCGCTGTCTGTCAATGGGACCTGCTCTTGTGACGTCACTAATACACGCGACCGTTCCCGGCAAAAAAATATAGTTCGTGGAAATAAACACAAAATCATCAATTTAATTCCAACTATTTAATCAATATATTCCACCGTGAGGATAATCACCGTTTATACAACATAACTACATCAATTGTTGCGAGCTACACGGATGGGTTACAATGTACCGCGAGGAATATGTATTGTTATTGATGTGGTGATTTAGCCTGGAGACGAAAGGTGAATTTAGCCAGTGCAGCCGGAAAATGTTGCGTTTGTGAAGAATCCGGGAATTACTTTGTTTGTTGAATGAAGATTTAATTGCGTTGATGTGTTGTTTGCACGTGTGCCATGTGTCGGAAAAGCTACAATTAATATAATGGCGTCGGTCAAAACGACGTCATTTAACCACGACGCCACGAACGAGTTCTTCATATCACTGCACCAATGGGAATTATATGCGACAAGAATGATCTGATATCTTTCCATTTTATTTGGTAAGGTTATATAGTTGCAACGCGCGCAGAGCAAATAGAAATATATATATATATATATATTATTATTATTATTTTCATTATGAGCATTCAGAAGCTTTCAGTTTCCATTCATAGTCAAAACGAAAGCCTTATGGAATAAAACAGATTCAAAGTGAGCACACTTCATGGAAATAGTCACGCTCCTTATTTTATACTGACTATGAAGCGTATGTACAACATTACGGTATATGACTGAAAAAGATCATATCTTTGTGTACCACGGTACCCTTTTACAAAACAATGTGTGTGGTACACACACATATATATATAAATCAAATAATTGTGTCTGGCTCTTGTCGGTCGTCGTAGGTAAGTGATTAGATAAGAACGACCTGAAACCCTGTCCCGTTTAGTCCGACTCTTAGGAAACTCGAGGGGCAATGTTACCTACATCGGGATTTCAAAACAAATCGGTGACGCGTGTATTAATTCCCAGCATGCTTTATCACTTCGTGATGACCTCGGGACATCACTTACGTTTTTGTTTTTGTTTTATTATTTTCAAACATTTAGCCTGTCCATCATACATGTATTACCCAATCCGAACAGAAGATCGAAGTCGGGTCTACAAGTCGTAAGGGTACCCAGGACCTGGAGATAGAACTATTAGAGGGTAAACATATAAGTGCAATGGCGATTGATCTACAACAACAAATCTCGCTCTAAACTAAAATCCCATTATAACTCTCAGAAATGTAGTCTATTTACTTCCTCAGGAAAAATGTGAGTTTTGTGCGGTAAATATTTCTCACTTCATAATTGGTTTATTTAACAACTGCTGATTTTAACTAATCGTTAGAAAACACACATTACACGCAACCCTGCATATGACGTATGCAAAAGCAAATTTAAAACACAGACTACCTTCGGGGACTTGGAACGACGATTCCTTTGTATCCTTCATTTTTAATTAATAAGTCCAAGAGACAAGCCCGACAGCGGTTCTTGTTTATGTGATTTTAAAGTTTTACGTCATAAACATTATACATCGCCTGCAGATTTGTGGGGGAAAAAATGACCTACAATAACCCACTGCATGATCTATTAGACGACCATGTGGCGTTTCCTAAACATCCAGCATACAGGATATTGCATATCCGTTTCTGTATATTTATTTTTTACTTCTTACGTGTTTAATACCGTATCACCCTGTATAACGGTACCATCCTGTACCCTGTATAATAGTGTCACCTTGTATGACCGTATCACATTGTATGACAACATCACCCTGGATGGCATTATCAGTAGGTATGACCGCATCACCATGTATGACCGTATCATTCTGTATGACCGCATCAGTAGGTATGACCGCATCACCATGTATGACCGTATCACCCTGTATGACCGTATACGTCTGTATGACCGTATCACCATGTGTGACCGTATCAGTATGTTTGATCGTATCCCCATGTTTGACCGTATCAATCTGTATGGCCGTATCAGTCCGTATGACCGTATCAGTCCGTATGACCGTATCAGTATGTTTGACCGTATCCCCATGTTTGACCGTATCAGTCTGTATGACCGTATCAGTAGGTATGACCGCATCACCATGTATGACCGTATCACCCTGTATTACCGTATACGTCTGTATGACCGTATCACCATGTGTGACCGTTTCAGTATGTTTGACCGTATCACCATGTTTGACCGTATCAGTCCGTATGACCGCATCAGTATGTTTGACCGTATCACCATGTTTGACCATATCAGTCCGTATGACCGCATCAGTATGTATGACCGCATCACCATGTATGACCGCATGACCCTGTTTGACCGTATCACCATGTGTGACCGTATCAGTATGTTTGACCGTATCCCCATGTTTGACGGTATCAATCTGTATGGCCGTATCAGTCCGTATGACCGTATCAGTCCGTATGACCGTATCAGTATGTTTGACCGTATCACCATGTTTGACCTGTATCACCTTGTGGACCGTATCAGTAGGTATGACCGCATCACCATGTATGACCGTATCATTCTGTATGACCGCATCAGTATGTATGACCGCATCACCATGTATGACCGTATCACCCTGTATGACCGTATCACCCTGTATGACTGTATCACCTTGTGTGACCGTATCAGTATGTTTGACCGTATCACCATCTTTGACCGTATCAGTCTGTATGACCGTATCAGTCCGTATGACCGCATCAGTATGTTTGACCGTATCACCATGTTTGACCATATCAGTCTGTATTACCGTATCAGTATGTATGACCGCATCCCCATGTATGACCGTATCCCCCTGTATGACCGTATCACCCTGTATGACTGTATCGCCTTGTGTGACCGTATCAGTATGTTTGACCGTACCAGTATGTTTGACCGTATCACCATGTATGACCGCATCACCATTTATGACCGCATCACCCTGTATGACCGCATCACCCTGTATGACCGCATCACCCTGTGTGACCGTATCAGTCTGTTTGACCATACCAGTATGTTTGACCGTATCACCATGTATGACCGCATCACCATGTATGACCGCATCACCATGTATGACCGTATCACCCTGTATGACCGTATTCGTCTGTATAACCGTATCAGTCCGTATGACCGCATCACCATGTATGACCGCATCACCATGTGTGACCGTATCAGTCTGTATGACCGTATCACCATGTGTGACCGCACCAGTCTGTATGACCGTATCACCATGTGTGACCGTATCAGTATGTTTGACCGTACCAGTATGTTTGACCGTATCACCATGTATGACCGCATCACCATTTATGACCGCATCACCCTGTATGACCGCATCACCCTGTGTGACCGTATCAGTCTGTTTGACCATACCAGTATGTTTGACCGTATCACCATATATGACCGCATCATCATGTTTGACCGTATCACCATATATGACCGCATCATCATGTATGACCGTAACAGTCTGTGTGACCGTATCAGTCTGTGTGACCGTATCAGTCTGTTTGACCATACCAGTATGTTTGACCTTATCACCATATATGACCGCATCATCATGTTTGGCCGTATCACCATATATGACCGCATCATCATGTATGACCGCATCACCATGTATGACCGCATCACCCTGTATGACCGCATATCACCCTGTGTGACCGTATCAGTCTGTTTGACCATACCATTATGTTTGACCGTATCACCATATATGACCGCATCATCATGTATGACCGCATCACCCTGTATGACCGCATCACCCTGTATGACCGTATCACCATATATGACCGTATCACCATGTATGACCGTATCACCATGTATGACCGTATCACCATATATGACCGCATCACCCTGTATGACCGCATCACCCTGTATGACCGCATCACCCTGTATGAACGCATCACCCTGTATGACCGCATCACCTTGTGTGACCGTATCACTCTGTATGACCGCATCACCCTGTATGACCGCATCACCCTGTATGACCGTATCACCATATATGACCGTATCACCATGTATGACCGTATCACCATGTATGACCGTATCACCATATATGACCGCATCACCCTGTATGACCGCATCACCCTGTATGACCGTATCACCATATATGACCGCATCACCATGTATGACCGTATCACCATGTATGACCGTATCACCATATATGACCGCATCACCCTGTATGACCGCATCACCCTGTATGACCGTATCACCCTGTATGACCGCATCACCCTGTATGACCGCATCACCCTGTATGACCGCATCACCCTGTATGACCGTATCACCCTGTATGACCGCATCACCCTGTGTGACCGTATCACCCTGTGTGACCGTATCACCCTGTGTGACCGTATCAGTCTGTTTGACCACGTTATGGTTATACCGCTGGACAGTTAACATTACAAGTTTCGGATTTGTAATGACTATTTGCTTATATATAATCACTTCAATTAGTACTTACCTGTTAATAACTAAATGATCATTTATCAAATTAAGTAAGAATAAATATTCATAAATTATTTTTTCGTGTTTTAAGTATGGATTACAGATGCATGTCGACGCGAGGTAGGATATTGATTAAGCTGTACCAAGAGTTGTCATTCCTGTTCTAAACTCATAAATGGAAGAATACAGGAGCGATAGCTGTCGATAGCGATTGAAAGTATATACACTGTGCATCCTTTTACAGTGGGATTAACATGTGTTATTTCACGTGATGGTAGAAATTACTGTTCACTATCATTATTCAATCCAAACGAACTGATTTGCACAAAACTCCAACACAACCGAAGCATCGTTCAAAACATACGGGACTAGCCGGTAGGGTCAATATTTACTTTTCTTTTCTTAAGGACGAACAACAGAATTCTGGGTGAAGGAGAAGGTACACATCGTTTTAAGTGCTTAATAAGAAAATTTTATGTAGTTAGGATAATTTTAAAAACAATTTAGGAAACTTCTTTTGATAAGGACATTTATTACCATCCTGTGATGCTGACAAATCATTTCATATTCAAAAAATATTTGTAAACTGGTGTCAGTAAAAATGTTGACTCTGACTGCAGGTGTTACTAAAATCTGATATCAGGAACTGAGAGGTACAGGTTGACTCTGACCTCAGGTGTTACTAAAATCTGATATCAGGAACTGAGAGGTACAGGTTGACTCTGACCTCAGGTGTCATTAAAATCTGATATCAGGAACTGAGAGGTACAGGTTGACTCTGACCTCAGGTGTCATTAAAATCTGATATCAGGAACTGAGAGGTACAGGTTGACTCTGACCTCAGGTGTCATTAAAATCTGATATCAGGAACTGAGAGGTACAGGTTGACTCTGACCTCAGGTGTCATTAAAATCTGATATCAGGAACTGAGAGGTACAGGTTGACTCTGACCTCAGGTGTCATTAAAATCTGATATCAGGAACTGAGAGGTACAGGTTGACTCTGACCTCAGGTGTCATTAAAATCTGATATCAGGAACTGAGAGGTACAGGTTGACTCTGACCTCAGGTGTCATTAAAATCTGATATCAGGAACTGAGAGGTACAGGTTGACTCTGACCTCAGGTGTCATTAAAATCTGATATCAGGAACTGAGAGGTACAGGTTGACTCTGACCTCAGGTGTCATTAAAATCTGATATCAGGAACTGAGAGGTACAGGTTGACTCTGACCTCAGGTGTCATTAAAATCTGATATCAGGAACTGAGAGGTACAGGTTGACTCTGACCTCAGGTGTCATTAAAATCTGATATCAGGAACTGAGAGTTACAGGTTGACTCTGACCTCAGGTGTCATTAAAATCTGATATCAGGAACTGAGAGTTACAGGTTGACTCTGACCTCAGGTGTCATTAAAATCTGATATCAGGAACTGAGAGGTACAGGTTGACTCTGACCTCAGGTGTCATTAAAATCTGATAGCAGGAACTGAGAGGTACAGGTTCTATGTTTGTGGTCCATATATAACGTCTATTAAGTTTCAAAAAGTAGAAGAAAGCTATATGACGGAAGATTGTGTAGGTTAGTCGGGGAGGGGGCAGAGGTGAGGGAAGATTGTGTAGGTTAGTCGGGGAAGGGGGCAGAGGTGAGGAAAGCGCAGTGACGGGACGCGTGAGGGGTAAGCACAGGGCTCAGAGCCTAACAGACACCACCTAGCATTATTGCTTCTGGATATAAAAAGTCTCGAAATTCGATATTAAATCTGGACTTTTAACTCGGTGTATATAATGGTGGTAAGTGAGAGTGGGGCTTAGAGATGGGTAGAGAATGGGCGGTAACGAAACAGCACACAGGACTGTCATATCTGCTATTTGAATGAGGGTAAATTCTGATATCTCTCTGTAGATTGTACATTGTACTATAAGGACATTGTTATCATAAGCCAATGATAAATCGGGTACTTAGTGCTCTTCAATAAAAATAACACACTGGCACTTAAATGTTTACTGTTGCCTTGGTTTACACGTGCTTGTGGTAAATACCATTGGATTTATGGGTTTAGCAGTTTAAACATTATGTAACCGGGAGATGACAGTACGATACATCAGCGCAGATTTATGGTGTTATTATTAAAAAGACACCCAATATTCAGACGACAACACATATTTACTCCCTAACCCTAACCCTAACTAAAAATGCCTGAATGAAAATTATATAAAGTAATGATCATATTGAAAAACATATATAGTCAAAGAAAATCAAAATCGCCCATTTCCATTCGAGGTTATGAGAGGCGAACACGTGGAAAGTGTCTGTTTGCTGATTCCAGACTTTACTTATAAGCCCTGGGAGTTATTGTCTTTAGCTTACCTTTTATACGGCCTGCCTCAAGGGAGATAACGCTCACAAATTAGTGAATGTTTTGCAGTGTGATAATAAAATGTTTTTCTTATAGCAGTTCTGATAATATACATGTTCATGATACTCAAGTTCATTATTGCCAAATAGGGTGTCCAGTTCAGTAAAGAAGATATGCTAGCTTACACATCTATTCCTTTAATTTTGTACAAGCGTTATCTCCCCTTACAAACATTAGAATCGCACAATTATTATTATTACTATTAAATTCCCATCAACACAGGATAGGTCATAAGGGCCAAGAAATGGTCGAAAAACAACAATGCAAAATAAAAACAGCCTAAAATTTAAGAGACAGTTATATTTTCGAAAATAGATTTAAGACATGTACTGTTATTATAGAAATGTTCTCCAGTTGACTTAAAGTCGACACAATCTAATAAGAAGTGTTTTACTGTAAATGGTTTCTGACACGCTATGCATTGAGGCTGGACATCACGTGAATCACACAAGTATCATCACTGTAGACATACACTGTAATTATTAACAACACTGTTTTTGGTTTCTTGAAAATATCTGTCTTATTGCAGGAAAAACACTGGGCAAGTCCTTTGTAGTTTTCCTGTACAACAACCTCTCCTTATTTTTCTTTTTTTGTATATAAGTGTAGTGATGACCACTGATCAGAGGGCTCAGAGAGCTCGCGGTGTGGGTGGAGGTGTAGACTTTTCATCCTCGTCTGGCACTGTTGTATCATTATTGTTAAGTTTGTGTTTGTTTATTTCATCTTGGTTATTTTTTCATAAAAGTTTCAAAAATATGGGTTCATTTCTAAAGATTAGAAACTTACATGGTGCCGATTAACCGATTCTATGTTATAGTGTTTGGCGGTGATACGGTGTTCCGTTATGTTATAGTGTTTGGCGGTGATACGGTGTTCCGTTATGTTATGGTACTACTTTCATTACTTTTATATTTAAAAAGTGAAAAGCAGTCGAATTTGAATCGAAGGCAATCTGTCTCTTATGTGTATTACAGAATTCTACCTGTTTGTTTTATGTGTATATATAATATAATACCGATGAAATCTAAATAAATCGATTACTATCAAAATTTGCAATTTCCTATGTCCCACATTTTACCTGATAGTACAAATGTGGGAAACGCGCTACCAACAATCCGTCGGTACTTACCCCAATTAGTATAAATCCTTCCCGGCGTCGATGATGCAACACCCCAAACAAAATGTCGAGGGAACGTCCCAAATGTGAACTCCTCGCCCCACCCCCGGGCAAAGGCAAGGGCGCCATACAAGAGCGTGAGGTGAACGAGCATATCCGAAGCCCTGTGCGGAAAGCGGTCTGGTACTGTATTCGTCTGGCCAACTCGAGCTCGCTAACACTGACAGCAGCGAGATTGAGTTGTTAAGAGGATTTCAGTCTGACCCCTTGTCACATATATCAGTACACGTGAACAGACTACGGTACCGAGGGTAGGAGATATACCTGCAATCTGTTGATATGTGTATATGTTACTTTTTGTGCAGCTCTAAAATCTAGCATTTATCTCGTCCAAGCGGCATGATTCGTCCTTCCGAGACTCGATGGTGGTGTTAAGGGGCACACATTTTGAAAACTAAAATGTCTTAACTACTGACGAAAGAGAAATAAAATCCCAAAAATATCACGAGAAAAATGTTTTCAACTCAAACGTTTCACTCTAATGTGATTTATTTTACATTTTAAGAATTTAATTTTGTACAAGCGTTATCTCCCCTTACAAACATTAGAATCGCACAATTATTATTATTACTATTAAATTCCCATCAACACAGGATAGGTCATAAGGGCCAAGAAATGGTCGAAAAACAACAATGCAAAATAAAAACAGCCTAAAATTTAAGAGACAGTTATATTTTCGAAAATAGATTTAAGACATGTACTGTTATTATAGAAATGTTCTCCAGTTGACTTAAAGTCGACACAATCTAATAAGAAGTGTTTTACTGTAAATGGTTTCTGACACGCTATGCATTGAGGCTGGACATCACGTGAATCACACAAGTATCATCACTGTAGACATACACTGTAATTATTAACAACACTGTTTTTGGTTTCTTGAAAATATCTGTCTTATTGCAGGAAAAACACTGGGCAAGTCCTTTGTAGTTTTCCTGTACAACAACCTCTCCTTATTTTTCATTTTTTGTATATAAGTGTAGTGATGACCACTGATCAGAGGGCTCAGAGAGCTCGCGGTGTGGGTGGAGGTGTAGACTTTTCATCCTCGTCTGGCACTGTTGTATCATTATTGTTAAGTTTGTGTTTGTTTATTTCATCTTGGTTATTTTTTCATAAAAGTTTCAAAAATATGGGTTCATTTCTAAAGATTAGAAACTTACATGGTGCCGATTAACCGATTCTATGTTATAGTGTTTGGCGGTGATACGGTGTTCCGTTATGTTATAGTGTTTGGCGGTGATACGGTGTTCCGTTATGTTATGGTACTACTTTCATTACTTTTATATTTAAAAAGTGAAAAGCAGTCGAATTTGAATCGAAGGCAATCTGTCTCTTATGTGTATTACAGAATTCTACCTGTTTGTTTTATGTGTATATATAATATAATACCGATGAAATCTAAATAAATCGATTACTATCAAAATTTGCAATTTCCTATGTCCCACATTTTACCTGATAGTACAAATGTGGGAAACGCGCTACCAACAATCCGTCGGTACTTACCCCAATTAGTATAAATCCTTCCCGGCGTCGATGATGCAACACCCCAAACAAAATGTCGAGGGAACGTCCCAAATGTGAACTCCTCGCCCCACCCCCGGGCAAAGGCAAGGGCGCCATACAAGAGCGTGAGGTGAACGAGCATATCCGAAGCCCTGTGCGGAAAGCGGTCTGGTACTGTATTCGTCTGGCCAACTCGAGCTCGCTAACACTGACAGCAGCGAGATTGAGTTGTTAAGAGGATTTCAGTCTGACCCCTTGTCACATATATCAGTACACGTGAACAGACTACGGTACCGAGGGTAGGAGATATACCTGCAATCTGTTGATATGTGTATATGTTACTTTTTGTGCAGCTCTAAAATCTAGCATTTATCTCGTCCAAGCGGCATGATTCGTCCTTCCGAGACTCGATGGTGGTGTTAAGGGGCACACATTTTGAAAACTAAAATGTCTTAACTACTGACGAAAGAGAAATAAAATCCCAAAAATATCACGAGAAAAATGTTTTCAACTCAAACGTTTCACTCTAATGTGATTTATTTTACATTTTAAGAAACTCCGTCATTTGATTGTTTGCGCTAAAAGCAATATAATTTTCCGGACAGATATCTGAAGAGATATATGAGAAAACGGTAACATTTTAGCACCACAGTTTTCAGTTTTCGTTATTGCCGTTTAGAAATCAAACATTAATGTGAATTGAAAGCTTACTGTCAAAACTTAAGCTGCCTGAGGAACATGAGTTCAAGGTCGAGGTAAAAAGACCGAATGAGGTCGATTAATCATAACAGCGATTCCCGAAGGGTGGTCGGATGGGGGGAGGGCTTATTATCATCAGATTTTTTTGGATTTTATTTATGTTTCTACAGTA